TCACGGGGAGCCGGGCCCGGCCCGGCCCGGCAGCAGCGGGGGAGGCCGTGCCCGGGGCCGGGCCGTGCCCGGGCACTGCAGCCCCTGCATGGCCGCTGTCTCCCCGCAGGCACTGCCTATGTGCTGACCTGCTACTTCACCAACTGGGCCCAGTACAGGCCCGGCCTGGGCAAGTTCACCCCTGAAAATGTCGACCCTTGCCTGTGCAACCACCTGATCTACGCCTTTGCCGGCATGAACAACAACGAGATCACCACCTACGAGTGGAACGACGAGACCCTGTACAAGTCCTTCAACGGCCTCAAGAACCAGTGAGTGCCGGGAGCCTCAGCAGGGCTCTGCTCCCTCATGTGTCCTTCTCCTCCAGAGAAGAACTGTCCCTCCCAGTCCTTCCCTGCTTCCTTCCAGTCCTTCTCTGCTCCCTCCTGTGTTCGCCTCTGCTCCCCGCGTCCTTCTCCGCTCCCTCCCAGTCCTTCTCCGCTCCCTCCCAGTCCTTCCCTGTGTTTCACTCTCACCTCGGTGACAAGGATGCTGAGTGCAGAAGGACAGAGACACAGCCAAGGCAGGACGTGGGGACAGCTCCGTCCTCTGAGCATGGGGACAGCGGCTGGCGGTGCTGTGGACATGCAATAACTCAGGGTCCTGCCTCTTCCCTTGCAGGAACAAAGATCTGAAGACCCTGCTGGCCATTGGAGGATGGAATTTCGGCACAGCCAAGTGAGTTCAAACCATGTCCCGCCCTAAACGGCAACATGGGAAGAGAATGAGAGGAGGAAGGGGCTCCATGCAAACCCCACCTCTCTCCTGCTCTGCTTGCCCAGGTTCTCCACCATGGTCTCCACTCCTGAGAACCGCCAGACCTTCATCAAGTCCGTCATCAAATTCCTGCGCCAGTATCAGTTTGATGGGCTGGACCTGGACTGGGAATACCCCGGCTCCAGGGGCAGCCCTGCCCAGGACAAGTCTCTCTTCACCGTGCTGGTTAAGGTGGGCTTGGCTGCAGGCTCTGCCGGCCACAGCTCTGGCCTGTGAGCCCTGGGTGGCTGCAAAGCCCCAGCCCCGAGCCCCCCGGTGATTCCTGTGCCTTGGATCCCTCAGGAGCTGCTGGCAGCCTTCGAGCAGGAAGCCAAAGAGACCAACAGGCCCCGGCTCATGGTCACCGCCGCTGTCGCTGCCGGGCTTTCCACCATCCAGTCTGGCTACGAGATCGCCGAGCTGGGCAAGTGAGTGACCAGCCTGGGGTCCCTGGTGGGATTGGAGGCGTTTCCTGGAAGTGCTGAAGTGAAATACACCCTGAAGGGGTGGGGGTGATGGCAGCCCCAGTGGAGGTTCCTCAGGTGAGGACACAGCCCCGCTCCTGCAGGTACCTGGATTACTTCCACGTCATGACCTACGACTTCCACGGCTCCTGGGAGAGGAACACTGGCGAGAACAGCCCCCTGTTCGCCGGCCCTGCCGACAGCGGCGACTACAAATACTTCAACGTTGTGAGTGTTTCTGTGGGACACCCACAGCTCTCAGATCCTCGGAGGCTCCCCCCAGGAGATTTCGAGGAATTCATCCTTCAAATCCCAGCAAAGAGTCGAGTGGGAGTGGTTTCTTGCAGGAATACGCCATGAACTATTGGAAGAGCAATGGTGCCCCAGCTGAGAAGCTCCTGGTGGGATTCCCAACCTATGGAAAGAGCTTCACCCTGCAGAACCCATCTGACACCTCTGTTGGAGCTCCAGCATCCGGCCCTGGCCCCGCTGGGCCCTACACCAGGGAGGCTGGAACTCTGGCTTACTACGAGGTAGGAATGTTCCATCACATTCCGTGCTCAAATCATTTGAAGGAATTGATCAGGAAGTTTTCTGCATGGCTCAGGCACAGAGCTATCCGTGGAATCACCAGGAAGGAGTTGTGTACTCAGGGAACGGGGAAGTGGCACAAAAGCAGAGGATAAAGCCAAGGCAAGGGCAGAGCCTGGGCTTTTCCCTTTTTGTGGGTAACATTCCTGCTTCCTTCTCCCTAGATCTGCTCTCTGCTGAGCTCTGGAGCCACCCAGGCTTGGGACGAACCCCAGGATGTCCCCTACGCCTACAAGGGCAGCGAGTGGGTCGGCTACGACAACGTCAAGAGCTTTGGCCTCAAGGTCTGGGCAGCGGGGCCGTGCTGGGGTGGGACCAGAGCCTCCTGTGGGATCAGCTCCTGGGCTCACTGGGATTCTCCTCCCCACAGGTGGACTGGCTGAAGAAGAACAACTTTGGAGGAGCCATGGTGTGGGCCCTGGACATGGATGACTTCACTGGGGAATTCTGCAAGGAAGGCAAATACCCCCTGATCTCCAGCCTGAAGAAGGGCCTGGGGCTGCAGAGCGGAGGTGAGTGGCTCCAGGAGAGCAGGAGCAGCTCCTTGATGGAGACTCCCAAAATTCCTGTGCAGGTGTGGGAGGGACAAAACATTTTCAACCCTTTTCCCACCTGAATTCCAGACTGTATTCCCATTTGAAGTTCCCACCTCCCATTTGAGGCTCCCACCACCACCACCAGCAGGAGCAGCTCCTTCATGGAGGCTCCCAATCTCCCCGTGAAGGATGGGGAGGAATCAAACACTTCCAACCCTTTTCTGCCTAAATTCCAGACTGTGGTCCCCTCTCCTCCCATTTGAGGCTCCCACCACCACCACCAGCAGGAGCAGCTCCTTCATGGAGGCTCCCAATCTCCCCGTGAAGGATGGGGAGGAATCAAACACTTCCAACCCTTTTCTGCCTAAATTCCAGACTGTGGTCCCCTCTCCTCCCATTTGAGGCTCCCACCACCACCACCAGTAGGAGCAGCTCCTTCATGGAGACCCCCGACCTTCCTATGGAGACGTGGGAGGGATGAAACACCAGGAATGTTAAAATAAACCTTCTCCTGCTTGAATTCTTGAATTCCAGACTGCGTTCCCCCCTCTGAGCCCCTGCCTCCCATCACTGAGGCTCCCACCACCACCAGCGGCGGCTCCGGTGGCTCTGGCGGCTCCAGTGGCTCCGGTGGCTCTGGATTCTGTGCCGGGAAACCCAACGGGATCTACGCAGACCCCAACAACAAGAGGAACTTCTACAACTGCCTGAACGGCCAGACCTTCGTGCAGAGCTGCGAGCAGGGGCTGGTCTTCGACCCCGTCTGCTCCTGCTGCAACTGGCCCCAGTGATCCCAACCCTTTTCCAGCCAGTCCATCCCTCGGATTTAATTGTGTGCAATAATGATTAAATAAAGCTTTCTGAAAGCAATCCTCTCTGTTGCAACTTTTTGGTTTTGGGTTGTTTTCGTGCTCTTGGCTCCCAGGGCATCCTGAGTGCGTGGCTGTTCAAACTCCCGACAGCAGGTGTCAATGTTGCCTGCTCTTCTTCCCAGCCGTGGAGGGATTTTCCAGGAGTCTCCGGCAACATTTGGAGAAGAAAAGTGGTTGCAGGCCAGAAAGCTGAGTTGTTGTTCCTCTTTGTTCAGCCACAAATCGAGATCTGAGGCGAAGAGGAATTTTTTTTAGCAGTTTTTTATAGAAATGGAGAACTTTGATAGGCAAAAAAAAGCCCCCAAAACCAGGAAACAGGCAGTTTGTTTCTCCTGTGGGAGACGTGGAACCATGGAATCCCAGACTGGGCTGGGTTAGAAGGGACCTTGAAGCTCATCCCATTCCACCCCTGCCATGGCAGGGACACCTTCCCCCATCCCAGGGTGCTCCAGCCTGGCCTTGGACACTTCCATGGATCCAGGAGCAGCCGCAGCTTCTCTGGGAATTCTGTTCCAGGGCTTTCCCACCCTCTCAGGACAGAATTTCTCCCTAATACCCCATCTAATCCTCCTTCCCCCTCAGGCCACCCCCTTTCCCTGTCCCTTGTCCAGGACACGGCAGGTTGAGGGTTAAAGAGGAACCATCAAACTCATCCTTCCAAAACCTCACCAGCCCTGCCAGGACTCTGCTGAGGCATTAACCCATTTATTCCCACGGCCAGGAATCCCCATGGCACAGCACCCCAGAGCTCGGCAGAGAGGAATGTGTCCTTCTGACCATCTCAGGTGTCCCCTGGTGCCACCCCTGGTGTCACCCCTGGGCTCACACCTCCAGGTTCATCCATCAATGTCCTGGATTTCATCCTGGTTTTTGTGGAGGTTTAGGACCGGGGTAATAAGAACTGAAAGAAAGAATAATAGGAATTGGAACGAAGAGCAATAAGAATTAGAACAAAAATTTATTAACAGTAACTAAAAGATTAATAAGAATTAGAATAAAACACTAACTAAAAGAAAGAGTAATAAGAATTAGAACAAAGAATAATGAGAATTAGAACAAAGAGTAATAAGAATTAGAACCAAATAAGAATTAGAACAAAAATTTATTATCAGTAACTAAAAGAAAGAGTAATAAGAATTAGAACAAAGAGTAATAAGAATTAGAACCAAATAAGAATTAGAACAAAAATTTATTAACAGTAACTAAAAGAATAATAAGAATTAGAACAACCACTTTTCTTCCCCCTACAACCTTTTCTTTCTTACTGACAATGTAGAGACAAAACCTAAAATTTTTATACTTCTAGAACATATATTTTTTTAATACTTCTACTTGTATATTGATATATATATTATACTTCTAGAATAGATATATTTTATACTTCTACTTATATATTTATATGTAAGTAGTTATATATATTGATATATTTTATACTTCTAGAATATATATTTTTATATTTCTACTTATATATTTATATATAAATATTGATATATTTTATACTTCTACTTATATATATTTTATACTTCTACTTGTATATTTATATATAAATATTGATATATTTTATACTTCTAGAATATGTATATTTTATACTTCTACTTGTATATTTATATATAAATATTGATATATTCTATACTTCTAGAATATATATATATTATACTTCTACTTGTATATATATATATTTTATACTTCAGAATAGCCTTTTTTGGTTCATTTAGGGAGAGAAATCCCCCTGAACCCCTCCAGGATGCTCTGCCTGCCCAGCCCCATCCCAGCTCATCTAACCCCAGTTTAAAGCTGGGATTTTCCTGGGCAGGGAAGGTGGATCAGCTTCCCATGAAACATTTACAGCCTCATCCAGGCAACTGTTGCTGAGACAGCCCAGCTGAACCCCCTTTCCAGCAAAAAAAACCCCAAAAAAATAAAATAAAAGGGTTAAAAATGGGTGTGGATCATCACATCCCCCAGCCCACAGTGTGAACTCCTCTCATTCACATCCACGAATTCCTGCTCGTTAAAATAAAGGGGTTTTAATAATTTAATGGCGTTTTGGGCCCAGCTTGAGCAACCAAATAGGCTTTAAATAAAACATTCCCTGCTGGAGCAGGTGCCCTTCAACCTCCCTGGGTTTAAAATAGCCCTGGAGTCAGGCTGAGCCCCAGTTCAGCTTTCCTGAGCGGGGTTTAAGTGACCTTCATTTGGGCAGGGACATTATCTCTGTCCCAGCCCCTTGGCCTTGTTGGGAAATAACCCAAATTTTCCTTCCAGCTCTTGCTGGATGGGGTTTATCTCCCACCCTTTTGTCCCCCTCAAGGTTTGGTTTATTTTGGGACAGAATTTCCTGTTCCCTCAGCAGTGCTTCGGGCAGCAGAGTGGGGAGAGCCTAAAAACCCTAAAAATTAAGGAATTAAACCAGAAATTGGGAATATTTCAAGGGGGAGGGTTGGGGGAAAACACCCCCTGGTTTTGTCCATTACTGGAACACAGAGCAGGGCCTGTTTTCCTGCTGACAATTCCCTATTTTCTGCCAGATATTCCCTATTTTTTCCCAGATATCTGGGATTGGATCTCTCCCACTCCTTCCCCACTTCCAGGCTGGATTCACCCCTCTCTTCCAGTCATCCCTGACGTTCCTCTCCCCTCTCCTATTTCCCAACCCTTTATCTCTCCCACAGGGAAGAAAACACCCCCTGGTTTTGTCTATAGCTGGGACACAGAACAGAACCTGTTTTCCTGCTGACAATTCCCTATTTTCTGCCAGGAAATAGGGATTGGATCTCCCCCACTCCGTTCTCACTTCCAGGCTGGATTCTCCCCCCTCTTCCAGGCATCTCTGACATTCCTCTCCCCTCTCCTATTTCCCAATCCTTTATTTCCCCCACCCCCTGGTTCTGTCCATTACTGGGACACAGAACAGGATCACTTTTCCTGCTGACAATTCCCTATTTTCTGGCAGGAAATAGGGATTGGATCTCCCCCACTCCGTTCTCACTTCCAGGCTGGATTCTCCCCCCTCTTCCAGGCATCTCTGACGTTCCTCTCCCCTCTCCTATTTCCCAATCCTTTATCTCTCCCACAGGGAAGAGAAGAAAACTGGCACACGGAACAGGACCTGTTTTCCTGCTGACAATTCCCTATTTTCTGCCAGGAAATAGGGATTGGATCTCCCCGACTCCTTCCTCACTTCCAGGCATCTCTGACGTTCCTCTCCCCTCTCCTATTTCCCAACCCTTTATCTCACAGGGAAGAAAACAAAACTGGCACACAGTCCAGGATCTGTTTTCCTGCTGACAATTCCCTATTTTCTGCCAGGAAAAACCCAGATTCCCTGGACTGGATCTCTCCCACTCCTTTCTCCCTTCCAGGCTGGATTCACCCCCCTGTCCCAGGACATTCCTCTCACCAGGACCCCAGCAAGCCCAGCCCATGTCCAGCAGCCCCCCGACATTCCCGGGGTTCTCCCGGGGTGGAATCCTGCTGGGATCTCCGTTTTTGGAAGCGTGGCTGAGCTCCAGAGCTCTCCAGGGAGCTTTTGCCTCCCACGTCACTTGTTTTGGAGCTTCCTGCTGCTCCCGCTGACGTCCGTGGGGCCACGTCAGGCGCCGGCGAGGGAAGCGCGGCCCTTTTTTGGGAATTTGGGATTTGGGAACAGCTGGGCTCTGTCAGCAGTTCAGCACTCTGAGCTCCAGGGATAAACACTCCAGGGTTGGGTTTTTTTTCCCCCCTCTGCTCGGCACAATATTTTCCTTTCTCTTTAAGAAGCGTTGTTTCGCTGCTGAGAATTCTTTGTGGAATTCATCGCCACAATCCTTTTTAAATTTGTATTTTTTTCCGCAATTCCAGCCTCTCCAAATCAGCTGTGGCCCCTTTGGAAAGGGAAAAGATCCTTTGGCTCCCAAAAAATGTGGGAGTTTTGAGTCCTGAGGCAGAACTGGGGCAGTTTTGGGGGGTTGAAAAGGTTTGTGGGGGAGTAAAGGAGAACTGGGGACTTGAAATGCCTGGGAAAGGGGGATTAAAAAATAGAAAGATGAAAAAAAGAAGGGTTAAAAAATGGAGGTAAAAATAAAGAGGGATAAAAAAGGGGATAAAAAGGGATGTAAAAATAAAGGAGTATAAAAAAGAAGGTAAAAATAAAGGGGGATTAAAAAAGGGGATAAAAATAAAAGGGATAAAAATAAAGTAAAAAAGGGAAGGGGATAAAAAGGGATGTAAAAATAAAGGAGTATAAAAAAGAAGGTAAAAATAAAGGGGGATTAAAAAAGGGGATAAAAATAAAGAGGAATAAAAAATAAAGGGGGATAAAAAATAAAGGGGGATAAAAAATAAAGGGGATAAAAAGAGGGGGAGTAAAGGAGAACTGGGGACTTGAAATGCCTGGGAAAGGGGGATTAAAAAATAGAAAGATGAAAAAAAGAAGGGTTAAAAAATGGAGGTAAAAATAAAGAGGGATAAAAAGGGATGTAAAAATAAAGGAGTATAAAAAAGAAGGCAAAAATAAAGGGGGATTAAAAAAGGGGATAAAAATAAAAGGGATAAAAATAAAGAGGGATAAAAAATAAAGGGGGATAAAATAAGGGGATAAAAAGAGGGATAGAAAATAAAGGGGATAAAAATACAGGGGGATAAAAAAGAAATGGGAATTGAAAGGGGATAAAAAGGCATATTTAAAAAGAGGGGTAAAAATAAAGGGGGGGTAAAAAAGGGGAATAAAAAAGAGTGGGACAAAAAAAAGGGGCTAAAAAATAAAGGGGAGTAAAAATAACAGGGAATTAAAAAGGGGGACAAAAATGGGGGATAAAATCAGAGCACGCTGGCAGTGGTGTGTTATCCCAAAATGATAAATTTTATACAAATGTGCAAATATTTGCCAATGTGAACACCTGACAAGAAGCCTCTAAGCCGGGCTGAAGTAAAATCCCCACCTGACTCCTCCTCAGCTCCTGGAAAACCCCAAACCCAAGGCAAGGCCCCTTTTCCCTGACCTGGCTGCAGAGTCCCTCCTTTGTGGATGGGGAGATAAGGCAAACCCTCCTCTTAAAAATGAATAAATCAGCAGAAAAGACAAAAATCAGCGGGGAAAAAAAATCAGATTAGAGGGGCAGGAGGAGGAGTTGGCCGAGCTGAAGGACAGGGACACTGGGAGATGCTGCCTGCCTGGAAAATCCCTTTATCCCAAATTTTAGAGAGCCAGAAGTGAGGATCACAGGCAGGGCTTTCATCTTTTTGGGCAGCTGGGACCTGCTGGGCAGGGCGAGGAGCACAGTGGGGCCAGCAGAGCTGCTCGCCTGGGCCAGATGCGGTCAGAGCCTTTTTATCCCACGTGTGCTGCCTTTCTTTGCATAGCCCCGGTGTCATTAGGTGTAATTAAGGCAATTATGTCGAATTTTAGCAGCCCACGGAGTAATTGGGGGCAATTTTTAGCATCCCCAGGGGTGTTTGGAGAGCCCAAGGTGGCCCTGCTGATGATTTTCTCAGGTCAGGTGTGGCTCAGGTGACACCTTTGAAGTGGCCCTTGTTGTGCTGCTGCTGTTGGAGAAAACTCCAATTTTCCAATTTTTCCCTTCCTTCTTGTTAAAAAAAAAAGGGATTTTTGTCTCTTTTGTGGCTCTGAAACAAATTAAACCTGGGTTTTTTCCTTATTTCCTGATGATTTTCAGGTGACACCTTTGAAGTGGACCTTGTGCTGCTGTTGTTGGGAAAGGGCTGGAGGAGAAAACTCCAATTTTCCAATTTTTCCCTTCCTTCTTGTTAAAAAAAAAATGAATTTTGTCTCTTGTTTCAGCTCTGGAGCAAATTAAACCTGTTTTTTTCCTTATTCCCTTCTTCCCTGAGCTGACTCCTGCATTTGAGGCCTTGCTGTGGATCAGCAGCAGCAATTCCCATTCCCAGCTTTTTCCTCAGCCAAAACCTCCCCTTAATGAACCCTCACCCCTCACAGTGGGGCTAAAAAATCCTCAAAAAGGGGGAATTTGAGGAGCTCGGAGCTGGAATTCCTGAGCACAGCGCTTGGAGCACAACGCGGCCTTGCCAGAAAAATGGAAATAAAATCCCATTTATGGCTGACAAACGTGGCCAGAGGCCAAGGAAAACCCTCCAGGGCTCTGGATCCGGCAGGGTGAGGGGGTGGGAGATATTTTTAGCTGGTTTTTTTCTCCTCCAGAGGCCTTGGCTTGATTTGGGGCCGGCGAGAGCAGCTCAGGAGCTCTCCTGAGGATGAGGAGGGAGTGGGAGGCTGGAATTTGAGACCCTTTCCAGCTCTGTTTGCTCTTCAGCCTCTGCAGGCTCCAAGGGCACGGCCATGGGGTCATCTTGGAGAGGGCAGAGGGAGGGGAGGGCCTTGGAGCCTTTTATTTATGGGGGATTTTTATTTTCCCTGCTCTGCTGGGCCATGCCACCAGCCCCGTCCTTATTCCACTTTATTTTCTTAATACAATATATTAATGCTGCCATTCCCTGTCCATCCCTCTTCACCAATTTTTTTAAATAGTATTTTTAGTGCTGGAGCAGCTCTTCAGGAAGGATTTATGTGGCTCAGCTCAGATCAGGGGCCTCAGAGCCCTTTATGGGGGATATTCCCTGCTCTGCTGGGCCATGCCACCAGCCCCTTCTTATTCCACTTTATTTTCTTAATACAATGTATTTAATGCTCCCTTTCCCTGCCCATGCCTCTTCACTGAATTTCTTTATTCAGTATTTTTAGTGCTGGGGCAGCTCCTCAGGAAGGATTGATGTGGCTCAGCTCAAGGATCAGGGGCCTTGGAGCCCTTTTTGGGGATTTTCCCCATTTCTGCTGGGCCATTCCCATTTTAATGTCCCTGATCCCAAATGGGAACAACGCCTGAGCAGGGGTCTGGGGCCTTGGAGCCCTTTATGGGGGATTTTTGTGATTTTTGTGATCCTCAGCTCAGATCAGGGGCCTCAGAGCCCTTTATGGGGGATTTTCCCCTGTTCTTGTGGTTTCAGCCAAAGAAGTTTGGGGTTTTTTCTTTGTGTTTTTATTTATTTTTTTTTTTATTTTTTTTTTTTTTTACTTCTCGTTTCTAAGAAAAGAAAAATCCCTTTTTTGTAGCTTGTGTGTCAGCAGGGAAAGGGGAAATCCTTCCATCCACCCCTCCAGCCTGCCTTAGAAGGGAAGCTGTGAGACAGACCCAAGGAGGGAGGTTTGGCCTGAAAATTCAGGGACAGGGGAGGAATTTTGGTCCTTTATCCCACCAGTGCAGGGTCCTGATTGGTTTTTGGCCTCAAAATTTCAGGGAGATGGGAGGAATTTTGGTCCTTTATCCCACCAGTGCAGGGTCCTGATTGGTTTTTGGCCTCAAAATTTCAGGGAGATGGGAGGAATTTTGGTCCTGCCCATTCCCTAGTGTACTGATTTTTTGGCTTAAAAAAATTCAGTGAGAGGGGAAGAATTTAATTCCCTTATCCCACCAGTGCAGGGTCCTGATTGGTTTTGGCTTAAAAAATTCTGGGAGATGGGAGGAATTTTCCCACCAGTTCTGTGTCCTGATTGGTTTTCGGCCTGAAAAATTCAGGAAGGTGGGAGAAATTTCATTCCATTATCCCACCAGTTCTGTGTGCTGATTGGTTTTTTGCCTTGGAACAGGAGGTGGCATCTCCCAGGCTCGGTTTTCCCCATCCTGTACCCCAAATTTTCCACAGAATCCCACCTGTGGGTGTCCCTGTGACAGTGCCCAGGGCTCGGTGTCACCCCACCTGTCCCCAGGTGTGCCCAGGGCTCGGTGTCACCCCACCTGTCCCCAGGTGTGTGCAGGGCTTGGTGTCACCCCCACCTGTCCCCAGGTGTGCCCAGGGCTCGGTGTCACCCCGCCTGTCCCCAGGGGTGTGCAGGGCCCGCCTGTCCCCAGGTGTGCCCAGGGCTCGGTGTGTCACCCGCCTGTCCCCAGGTGTGCCCAGGGCTCGGTGTCACCCGCCTGTCCCCAGGTGTCCCCAGGGCTCGGTGTCACCCGCCTGTCCCCAGGTGCAGCAGGGAGTGCCTGTTCTGGCTGCAGTCTGTGTTTATCCTGGGAGTTTCCAGAGGGGAAGGAGCAGAGGCTGCCAGGGCGGCCGCACCCCGATAAGGAGGAATTCCCGAGGGGCAATTTGCCTGTGCCCAGCTGTGCCCCACGTGCTGTTTACCCCGGGCTGGGGGAGATTTTATCGCAGGGGTGGGGCAGCAAGGCTGGCCTTGCTGCTGCTCTGTGCCCAGGGCTCTGCCGTGCTTTTATCTCCCGAAGGAGCAGGAGTGCTGCAGCTCTGGAGCCTCCTGGGCAGACACCTCTGCTCCTGTCCCCTCTGTCCCCTCTGAGGGATTTGACTGGGGAGCTCTGGGAAGGCTCAGAGGAAGAATTAAAGCAATTGTTCTCTCAGTCTCTGTACCATTGTTTCCATAAGAACTGTGGATTTCTAAGAATAAAGTTTTTTTTTCTTGTGTTCTGAAGATAAAGTCTCTGTGTCACCTTTGGCTGTCCTCGATACCCCTTTGGTGACAGCCCTGTGTGACAAGGAGAGGGCTGGCTGGTGGCAGTGTCCCCTCTCTGGGAATCACAGACAGAGACACAGGATTTTCTCTGA